TATTGTTATTGAACAATATATATATCGGGCTGCCATCCGTCGTCATTTCTTTCGAGGACTGTGTTTTGCCCGGCTAAAATGTGAAACGTCGCGTACACTTGGCAAGACTCAAGGAAAATGCGAGCATTTCATCGATGAGACGAAAGGTACGCGATGCGGAACGATTTGGAGCGTGAAAAGTGTAACACGGAAAAACACTCGCACTAGGTCCTCGAAGATTGAAAAATTTCATTGAGAATCCGTATAAGTAAAATTTTTTCTCATTGTCGATTTTTTCCGTTACATATTCTAGGTTGGTACTTTTTAACCGTATTGACTGCCGTGGAATAGTATTTCATTGTTTATCAGACATAATCATCGAAGGGCATACAACAATGTGTTCAACATTTATTTCCAGCTTAATATTAATTATTTATATTTGAAAGAGTTTATCATAGAAAGATCTGTTCTTCGAGATAAAAGCATTCACTGAAAAAAAATAGTAACAATATTCGTAATTAAAATTAATTAAACACTAATTTTACTTTTAATTATTTAAATATTGTATTATGTTAATTTTCTAATTATTACCAAAAACTGTTGATTACTATTATTATGTTTGGTAATGTTTACCAAAATAATATAAGTGATAATTACTAAAAAATTAATTTCAATCAAATGTTCGATTAATGTTTAAGTAGGTCGATGGCACACCTCACAGCACATCTCGCGCACAAATTATCTTCGCAATCCTGTTTTGGAAAAGGGAAATAAAAAGTAATGCTCAGAAGTTATTTTTACATTCCTCTCATAAGAATATAAATAAGAATATCTCATAAGAATATAAATAAAAATGTAAATTTAACTCTATGTATACATATTAAAAATTATAAACTTATAAAGATAGTTTGTTGTAGGTGGTGTATTTGATCACTTATTTAAAAGTTAATACAACTAAAATCAGTTAAACGCTAATTTTATTTTTCTAAATATTATCCTACTTTTTTAATTATAATCAGATGGTTACTATTATTTGTTTGGTAATATCTGTTAAACATTACACTAACAGTAAGTACAACAAAATACATTTAAGAGCTATTATTAGATTTCTTTTGCAATATTCGATCATATCAATCAATTGAAAACATATTAGGAAAAGGAAAAAAATTATCATGTAATATACGTAATATACGCGATTCTTTTCTGATATTTAAAAAATATCTAACATTTATCAATATAACACATCATGTCTTACGATTATTTAAGTCCCGACACTGTCAGTTGAATGTTTGACGACCTCAGCTGAAGCGTTACAGCTTCGTTTGGCATATCGATTTTTCTTGATTGCTTGGTCCCGACCATTTGATTTGCGACATAATACAATTTAACAGGATGGATGAAGAGTGTTGGAAGGGGATTATTGAGGACAATAAATCGGTATACGAAGCAACGTGTACAGAACAGATTTTATCGAATGGCAACGGAAATGTAACCACGGATTTAGAATCCCCAGAGCAAAACGATCGAACCTCGCGGGTCAACGAGCGGATTAATTTCATTCTTGATCCTGCGCATTAGTTCTGCTATTGATATATCCTTTCCGAGAATCTGAAAGCATATATAATTTTCGAGCGTACCTAGAGAACATTGAGATGTCTTATAAGACATCACAAAGACGTCTTAAAAATTCATGAGACATTTTTTAGCACTATTAAAAAGACATATATATGACATCTTTAAAATATCCTGATTTATGACGTCTTATAGATATTATTCTTTTGATGTCTTCTCAGACATTTGTGTACAAAATAAAGATAAAATTATTGATACAAAAACGCGTGATAAAAGGAAACATATGAAGCTGGAATTACCCGAGAAATCGGTATATTAATTGTACTTATATAATATATCTTCGATAATGATCTATCTGTCTTACAACAGATATAAATTTCGTCATTAGAAAAGTTATGTAAGTATAAAATAATTGTGCCAATTTATCAAGTAATTCCAACTTGTATTCTTCCCCTCGTCAATACGTTTCACATAATTGTATAGTTGCACAATACTTTAATAACACAAAATAATGGAGTGTCAAATTAATTGACATCCAATATTTTTATAGGTTACGTATTATATCTGCAGATTGTGATGTCATAAATTTCATTCGATATTATATAATACAATTTACATTTAATAATGTAAATAGCTATACATGCTTCAAAACTTGAATAATTTTTAGACATCTTTTAAAAGGGGCTTAAAAATATCTATTTTAAGATATTTTTTAGACATGCGTGATCTTTGGGAGGAAACATAAAAAAAATATCACGATCGATATGCGTCACGACTTATATGTATGTACATCCGGAATTTTTACAATCAGTGGCAGTCACTTTCACAATTTTCCTTGATCTTAATTTATCGTCATCTATCACTCAATCTATCTCACTGAATCACTCAATGAGGCGCAGTATCGTTATTAAATCCCATTTAATTAGCTTGGTTTAATTAGCTGTTTGCCTTGTTTTTTTATTATGATAATTGTTATTGACGGTTGTTTCTCATCCGGTAATCAATGGTAATCAGAAAGAAAGAATCTTGACATTTTGTTAATATTTATTAAGAATAAAACCCAGTCTTTCGTTATATAAGTGATATTTGTGTTAAATTAATTATGTTGACGTTTATATATTTAACTCTATATATTTTAATAGATATAACAGCCTTAACTGAGAAATCTTCATGGTCTGCATTTTTCATTTTCGAAAATAATACCGCGATTTTGCAAATTTTTATTCGTTCAACATTGAGCGAGCAATATAGTTGTCCTCGAAACCGATTATAAAATTATAGTCCATATATTCTTGAGAACTGCATATATATAATTATTATTACTAATATTATAACAGTACTAACAATAAAATGGAATTATCTATAATTATTTTATTAAACAATTATAGTCATACCAAATGTTTTTCTTTTAGTCGAAAGTTATCAAATAGAACAGAATATTTTCAACAGTAATGCAAATTTTTGAATGATAGATTTATATGCCATTGCTGTTTCCGGGTCAATGTCTTGCGACTGTCGCGTCGGTGTTTGTTCGTTGAGAAAATGTTCCCGATATCTATTCATAGCGTACGACTTGACATAGAGCTGAATTTTTTTCTTGTGACAGGCGAATAAAAATCAGCTCATCTTTTTGTTATACTTTTGAAACATGTTTTCGCGTCGCAACGGAAATTTTTGATCGAACGGAAAAATGTCGCGGTCCTGACATTCTTAAACCGAATTATTATCTCATTTCATAATTGATGAGTAAGACGAATCACTTAGATTTGCCGCGAGAGACAGTATATTACCATTGCTAGTTGATGCTTGCATAACTACAAAAGACATATATCATTTTTTTTTTGCACGATGGAAAATATCTAGCCGTCTATATCGGCGCGTAGATGTCGCGCAGTGATCCTCGCTTTTTCATGGGAAAGGTCGGTGTGACGTATCGGCGATTTACCTTAGAGACGTGGATTTATACCATACACTCTAAAATGCATTTTGTGAGCGACAGCACTTCGATGAAGTTTGCCGGATAGTTTCGATACGAATATGTTATTGAGCTTCCCGAAATCTAGCACTGAATTCGAAATTTTAACTCGAATATAACGTGATTATAGCTGTTTTGTGTGTACGTAATATGTCATATCTTTACAAGAACAGCAAGTGTTAAAAATTCTGGTGTGTCGAATCTATCAGACATTTTTTCTTTTTACAGCCGCCTCGCTTCCATGTCAAAATCGTTCATGAAAAATGATGGATCGTTCACCCGCGTATAACGCGGGACTGCATTCAAAATTATGCGTTTTATCGTTTCATGCCGTTACTCTGTTTTTTCGTCACGTGGGCTATTCTTCATAACGCGATAAGAATGACATAACTTATCTCTTTGCTTAAGAACTGTTTGCATTTTATATATTAAATAAAGCATGCAATCATTTTTGTTAAGCAAAAGTATTATTATTTTCAATTTATCATCCATTGCAAATGGAAATTAAGATAAAATATTCTAGTTTTTATAAAATATGTCGATTACAGAGACCAAAGTCTCCGAAAAATCATTATTTAAATTTAATAATGGGAAAAAAATATATTGTTGTTGTATTAAAACCCGTTTTTGTTACAATTTTTATATTGATTTTTAACTTATTCAAGTTTTTAACTTATTCAAGTATTAATTTGATTACATTGTTTAAACATTTTGTTAAATTAATGTTTAATATTTTTTAGCGTTAAATTAATAATTTATAAGTATAAGCGAACAATTATAACATAAGAATAATATATGTATTTAAATATTAAATTCTAAAATAAATGAATAAAATGTAATATATATTTATATAATTTATTATATTATAAACGCTAATTTTACTGAAGAAATATTATTTACAAATATTATTGTGTCAATTTTTTACATAATATATGTTCATGTCATTTTTTAACATATTTATTTTGTATTAAATTGACACAAAAATTTGAATGGCTCGTTTGAGACAAATGTAATTAAATGTTAAATTTGACTAGAATTTTCTACCTATAATATATTCATCTTTTTACCCGACGTCATAAAAAAGAGATTTTTAATTCGACCTTATATATTATTTATGTATGTTTATTTATTTTATATGCTCGTTTTATTCTGTGGAATTTATTTGTTCCAAATCTTTTCTTCGTTCAGTTGAACGCTTTAATATCTGAAACTGCAATTATAGTTGCCTTTAGTGAAAGCGATCGCTGTATGTCTAGTCCGACATCTCGTAGCCGCTTCATCCCCATGAGGAGTTTTTTTCTTTTCTTCCTCTCAGAGGGAAGGAGAAAGAGAGTGGCGTTACAGGGTAAGTTGTACAGGGTAAGAAGTGGTGGATGCTGAGAGGGTTGGCGGGGGTGAATTCGGCTGAGGGCGCGCGCCGTGAGGAACGCGTCGCTCGCTCTCGGGGGCGTGCGGGAGAGTCAGTGCGCGGCGAGGCGCGCCAGCTGCCGCACGTCATGATTCTACCCCAGGTGAGCGACGATGTACCCAGACACTACCACTACCATCCCGTCGTTAACAGGACGACCGCCGAGAATCGTGAATATACACTCAAATGATAGTCCCTGTGCATGATGAGTGTCGGCGATTTTTTTTTTAACCTTAGTTCTTCATTTCATTTCAGCACGAAACAGCATGATTAAATCTTTTTCTTTCACCTTTCCCCCGTTTTTCCTATCTCGCTGATACCTCGACCTACATGAAGAATCCGATTTTAGGGAAACTGGAAAAGCTAATAGAAAAATGCTTCCGAGTGCGAGTACGCGATTATGCGAGTATCACGCAGTGATGTGAGCGACCGGCATAAAATTTCACGTGTTTCGTGTCGTGACGCGAGGGTTATATATCGAGTTATTTCTAAGAGCGAAAGTGAATGAAGAAAACCGAGATCCCTCTTCGCCAAGCTGAAAAAAAATGGTGTCATTAAAAGACGACACAGAGAATTGTGCCCGAGAAAAAATAATTTTTTATGTGCTATCAGTGGTTTTATGTATCAAGAGTGTGACGGATACCGCTGCATCTCGAGTTTCGTGAGACCCGCAAATTGTAACCGCAAATTACACTGCCGTTTTTAACATCGTGAAATTTGATGCCGAGTCTGTCGAGAAAATCGATTCGTTCACCGGCGAAATAGTTCGCGGGTAAAAATAACTTGTAAGATAACGTCGACGATGGAAATTTTAATTTACAAGGCATGAAGGCGTAATCGTGCGAGAATCATAACCGAGTCGATGTAGAGGATGATAAAGCTCAATTTTATCAGCTCGATGAGTCTCGTGAAATACAACGTGAAAAATATGCATTATCTTCATAAAATTTGACGATAGATACATGCACAAAAAATTAACTCATCGTTAGCGAAGTAGGTCGTAATTAAAGGCATTGCGAACAATAACGTCGATTGAACAGGATGAAAATTTTTATTTGAAAGGAATGAATCATATTGAAGTTGGAATTAGATTTTGACGGTTTGATTTTTGCGAACTTCCCGAGTATTCTTCGTAAGTGAGTTTCAAAATTTCGAAACTTTTCTGAGACGCATGACACGCCGAACTTTATGGAGAATTTTGTGAATCATTATTGCGGGTTACTAAGAGAGAGAGAGAGCTGCTTTTCTATCGCTGCAACAGGTTCTCGTATATTTTGGTCGTTATCGTCACGATAATGTTAATTTCCCTATCGCGTTCCCAGTAGATTGATTATTAATGATTGCCTGAAGGAAATGTAGGCCGAGCTTACAGAAAAGGCAGAAAACGTCTTTTAATCTCAAGAAAGTTAAATACCTGTCCTCATTATATTTAATTTTGATTATCGCTTATCTGCATATTGTGATATAATTTGCATGTTTTTATTATAATTATAATCGCTATAGGATACACTATAGAATTGATAAAATGTTTAACATTGAGACATTTACGTACAAAATATAAAAGACTATAACTAAATTTCTTTAAATTCATCGAGCGTGCGTGTACATAATTATTTTATAATATACCTTTACGTGCATATAATTATTTATAATATAATTTTTTTAAACATGCATTTATATTTTATAAACGCATTTTGAAAAATTTTTTAAATGGCGATAATTTATATTTGTTACGCTAAACATTACATGAATTAATTAATTCATATTTTAAAAGATTTTATTGTATACATATATTAGGAAAATTATCTTCCGAAGAAACTGCAATATATTTTTTAACAATCTAAATATTTTCTAAAATATCAAGAATTTAATGCTGTCTTTTAAATAATTTTAATTTATAAATGTAAAAATTTGTTTATATCAGATCTTAAAGTATTTTTTTATATCAGTATTGAAGGTCGCAATATTTGATTAAGGCTTTCTAAAAGTCTAGGAACTTTCAGACACGTAGCAATATAATCTGACTCTAAAACAGGAACTTTATGATGTCGATATATCGCTCCCTTACTTTAAAAGTAGCGCAATTTAAAAAATTGAATTTCTCGATAAAAAGAAAACATTATTTTTTAACATAACGTAAAATTATTTGAATAATCAAATAATATCAAAAAGAATATGTTCTCAATATGATTAAATGTCATTTTTCTCATTTTTGTTTTACAATCCTTACAAAGCTACTCTGAATTGTGAACGACTTTGATTTTTTACGAAGTTAAATTAGTTTATTTTTTATGATTTTAAAAGATAATAATTACCTAAATCACATTCATGGTAACAACTCGAAAATAACGTTTTTTAAGTTGTGTTATTTTTGAGATAAGACAGTGATATAGTCTTAAACTTACTAACTCTTTGCAGTCCTTGTCAGAATTGGACTCGGCAGCAAATTTTGCGAAAGTTTTGCATAATTTATTAGAATCAGCATGATTATCGATCAGTAAATTTTTGAAATCTTAATTTCTATAAGTTCTTCTAAATAATAAAAATGTTGTGATTCATAATATGTCCACTGATTAGATTGAATTAAAGACAAAATATTTGATTTTTGCTCATTTATAATTTAGACCGCAAAGAGTTAACGCTCACAACGATTATTATTCTCTATATTTTACAAAAGCAATAAGCCAGAACTATCATAATATAAGCACACAAAATAAAATTTAATATTTGATTCAGAGATTAGACCATGATATTCTTACGTATTTTAATGTTCTGAAACCGAACCCGATGTCCAATTTGCTCAATCATATTACATTTTTTTCATTGACGAAAAATAGCTCAATTTTCCAATATTTTTAACCTATCGACTTGCATATTAATTTTTATAAGCTTGCATATTATTGAATTTACTTTTTTTTTTGCTTTCAGTTTGCATATTAAAAGTCTGACCATAAATGGTTCTAAAAATACTTGAAAATCGAGTTATTTTTCATTGATTGAAAAAAAATTGTAACATTGGATTTGGTTTCTGAGCGTCAAAATAAGAATATCATAATCTAATCTTCAGGTAAAAAATTTTTTTTATGTATAATCATAAACACTGTTGAAATTATAGGGATCATTGAAATGATCTCTACAAGAGATCATATCGATAGAATTGTGTATTGTAAGTAATAAGTCATTACAAAGTCATAGAATAAATATATGCATAAATTTTCTATGAAAGGGGATGAATACGCGAAGAAAGGGGAAATATCACGTAGTTCCGGAGTGAAATCTAATTTTGTGGGAGAACGGTTAAAAGAGAGACGCTTTTCGTCGAGTTCTTCGTCATGAAGTACGTCGAGATCGCCGAGTTTTGCGAGCATGACGATTCGTAAAAATTACCGACGCGAAGTTTAAGAAGAGTCTTTAAACAGCCGAGGTCGGTACTCACTTGGAATTCCTAATTGTTTGAGAAAGAGACGACTTTTGGACACGATCGCGACTTGGAAATCGATGCGATTAATTCACTCAAAGACCAAACTTTTGGAAGAACAGCGATATGAAAGTGGTGAACGACGGATTGAACGTCGCTGCACGTACCAGTTTATTCGTGCTTTCGAAAGTGGAATTAAATATTTTAAAATTCCATATTCGGAAACAATCACGAACGAAATTTTTCAATTTTCTATTAAAACTTTTACTCGCTATATAGTTTGATTATTATTGTTTATTAATTTGTAACCCATCTCGATGAAACAGATTCGAGATTCATAGTTCAGTTTGCGATTCGAAATTTTTGAAATAATTTTCAAATCGTGCAGAGATAAAAATGCTTTCTCGGTGGTGGAAATTATTCTGTAATGTCAGTCCATTAGAAGCAATTACAGAAATATCTTTAAAATGCTTTCTATCTCGTGATATTTTCTCTAAACGCGTCGTTAGGAGCAAAATATCTTGCGTGCATTTAATGTTTCGCGTGCAATGAAATACGAAGCTCATTTCAAATGCGAAAATTATCTGTGTAATATAGATACAAAGAACTGTGATATCGAAGAATACAAACCATGATGAATATTTGTTATGTGATATAGTTAAATTCAAATTAATTACTAAGTAAAAAGCCATTAATTGTTTATTAAATATTATAACAAACAATATCTAAAAATTGAAAAAAAATATTTATTGACTGGATCCTTTGATGTCACGGTAAACAAATTAATGTATATATGTTTCCTTCGTATCCAACAAATTGCTCATTAAAAATTCAGTGTGACACTAGAAACTAAGTGTTTTTGTTTGTATCCTGACGGACCACAAAACATCATAACGTCATATATTACGTTTGCCATGCATATCTCGCGAGGTATCTCGTTATTCAGAAAAGCAGTTTGAAAATTGAACTTGTAGCCACTAAATATACATCCTAGCGAACGCAAAATGAGAAATTTGTAAGGAAATAATAGGAATTTATAATGAGAAAATTGTAAAGAAATGATAGTAATTTATATTAATGCGCATAGAAAGTTTGAAAACAAAGTTTTACTGTTTACAAAAATAGTCATCTACTCAACGAGAAAAAAGTAGAAAATAGAGAGACGTGAAATAATATAAAGAGTCACGAGACCACAATCTTATAATTTGCATCATTAATATCAAGTTTTATTTTGCAAATACGAACTTGTTAAAAAGTGCTAAGCGTAATACTAATTAAAAAGTACTCAGCGGTCAGTGTGATCTTTTTACTCGTCCTAGATGTTGCAGCGAATGAATGTTCTAAGTGTGGCTTTCTTTTGTGAGATTAAAGTGCATTAAAAACTTTTCCAACTACGCAGCTGTCCCACATAGAGAGTATCATCAATGTCTTCGCACGAAATAAGGAAAAATTTCTTTTCACAATGCAATCAAAAGTAGATAGTTTTATATATATAGTTACAGTTCAACTATCGTAACTTGTGGAAGAAAGTCACATGTTCGTGACTATTCGATTCCCTTGAGATCGAAAGGGAGTTTAACGTCGCGATACGAGCCGGAAGGAAAGTCTAATCTCTGTACGGAACATTTCTGTAGTTTGCGATTGTCGGAGTTTCGGATCTTCCACCGAGGAACTTTGGAGACGCGTAGCGACTGGACGTCCGCGAAATTCTCCTTTTCAAGTGGAATTCCCCTTGATATTCACCGGCACACC